ACCGGGCGGGCACCGGGCGCTGCGCAGGGGCCCCCATGGCGCCCCGGGCACCCGCAGGGCCGCGCAGCCCGGCCAAGTCACCGCGTCGCTTCCCCCCTCCCCAAGGACACCCGGCGTCGCCCCAATCCCGCTTTGCACGCCCGGGGGTTGGCTGGACCCGGAACCGACGGCAACAGAGATGCGTTGGGGACCGAGTAAAATCTGGGGTCTAAAAAGAGCCAAACTTCGGCCCAACCTGTTGTTGGAGCAGCCCCAGCGCATCCCAGCACCTCCATCCGTGTGATTTCCCCTAGAGCCAGGATGTGCCCAGCCCCAACTTGCGCCTTTCCCGGGAATCAGCCCGGCCGTGGCCCTGGGGACATTCTGCAATGTTCCAATTTGGAAAGTGCTGGGCGAAGGAGGTGGAAAGCAATGGGCAGGAAAGTGCTGGGAGAGGGAGATGGAAAGCAATGGGCCGGACGGGATCCGTCACAGCCTCCATGCCTGCAGCATCCTCGCTTCCTTGGTGCCGCCATGTCCTGGCTTGGATAATGGGGAACCTCAAGGCACTGCATCCAGGGACACCCGGATCTGGGAAGGATGGGATGGGATGAGATGAATGGGGACCCGCATGCAGGGTGCTGAGGGTTGGGATTAGCCGCGGGCATCGCTGCGGCACCGGCACCGACGCGGCCTCGCTGCCGCCTTCGCCCCTCCTCCTGCGCCGCGCTGCGCATGGATGGGCACCCGGACGGGGATGCGGGCTGCGTTTCCAGGCGCCGCTTCCCCCCGAGGCTCTGCAAACCCCCCCCCAGCGCCTGCGGCTCCCGAAAAGGCCCCAGCCTCCCCAGCCGGGATACGGGGCTCATCCCGGCCGGCTGCGTGCCCAGCTTCGGGGTCACGGGCGCAGCCCAAAGGAGGTCACCGTCATTAGCCCCATTCCCCAGATGGGGAAACGGAGGCTGGAGCCACGAGGTGCCTGGGCAGGGCCCGGAGGCCGGAGCTGGACGAACTGGCCCCTCCCGCAGCCCGGTGGCTCCCAGGACGGCCGCATCCTGCCCTGGCAATGGAAAATAAAAAAGGAGCCGCCCCCGCCGGGTGCCAGGGCACCCAAAACTGGGATCTTACATAAGCGCTCGCCACACCTGCAGTGAGCACCGCCCGGCCGCGGCCGTCCCAGCCCCGCGCCCTCCCGCTACC